CCCCCTCACCCCGCTCAAGTGCTGTGTCAGGAGCTGCCTGCTCCTACCAGATGCAACACGACGGAGCTGTTTCGAGACGATGTTTCAGCTTATTTTGTTCCTGTTTTTCAGTTGAAAGAGACTTTGGGAGGGGGCTGGGAAAGGATTTGGGGCCTGCAGATTTGTTTGCAACCTCAACAGTTGGACCAAATTTTTTAGCTAATTTAATATGGATATTTATATTTTTACTATTTTTATTGTTTTGGATTTTAATTGTGAGCCACCCAGAGTCACCCTCTGGGGGAAATGGGCGGCATATAAATTTAATTAATAAATAAGTCAATAAGTAAGTAAGTAAAGTACAGATAGTCCTCGCTTAACAACCTTTCGTTTAACGATGGTTTGAAGTTACGACAGCCTTGGAAAGAATGCTTTATGGCCCGTAAAGCACTTCCGGCTGTTGTAAAATTTCACGCTGCCCCCACTGCCATCATGTGGCTGCATTTCAGGCGCTTGGCAACTGGCTCGCATTTACAACCAGTTGTCAAGCGCCCTGCAATCATGTGATCACCATTTGCAGTCTTCTCTGCCGGCTTCCCAGTTGGAAGCTGGGAGGGAAGGTTGCAAGCGGAGGGGACGCGCAGCTGTACAGGAATGGGCCTCAGATTTTCAGGATCTGAGCTCCATTCCTTCACACCGCTGAGAGGGGAGGGCAAAACCTTCAGGGGGCTTTAGGAATGTTTGAGAGCAAAAGGCCTCCCTGCCAGGAGGATTTCAGCACCCTACAGAATTTTCACTCTGAAATTGCTCAGCTGAAATCCTTCAGCAGACAACTCTTTCCCTCTGTCCACGGAAGTCCCAGAAGATTACTAAACAACCCACAACTGGGAGTGCCTGGATTGCAGTCGTTGAGCGAAGCAGTCATGTGGGCATCTCGCTTAACAACTGTTTCATTCAATGAACAAGATTCCGGTCCCAGCTGTGGTGGTTAGGTGAGGACTACCTGTAGCAGGATGGAAACGGGTGATCCTGCTGCAAACAGGATCAGAAGTTACATGTTTGGGGGCCACCCCGTATATCTTTGCATTTGCAACCGCATCAGTCCCTCAGAGCCCTAGGGAGAGGGTCCTGTCAGGGTGGAGGTACCAGAAGAATACGGAAACCATTTCCTTAGCTGGAGTCATTAGCAGCTAAAGGATCTAGAATGGAACAAGATCAGTGCTTAAGGATTACGGTTATGGTTTCGGCTTTAGCCTCCAGCCAGAGGGTTGGGGGATTATT